GCGTCATGCAGGTCCTGGCACTTGTGCAAACCCTCTGAAGAGTCGCAGAGCGGGGCCCCTCGGTGGCCATACTTGGTCGCCAGAGCTTTGCCCTGTTGACTGAGCTCATGACCGGCCTCACATCTGTCGTCGGGTCTTACGTGTGACGGGTTTAATTGGCTGCACTGTGACGAATCGATGAATGGTCGTCGTGACAGAGGCCCGAAGATGCGCCGCAAATGGCGCGGCGGTACGTACAACAGACATCTGCGGCGGAGTGCGGTGCACATACACGATTTAGCGCGCAGATCCTCCCTCCGGCACAAGTAGTCATGGCAAAAGACGAACCGCGTGCTCGTTAAGGCCTCTGAAAGACTGCTTGTGCGTGGACATGGGTCATCAAAAAGCAAGAAAGTGTTTATAAGGGGCCATCTTTCTGACAACGACGCAGCATTCCATCAGAATCCATCGGGAGAGCTGAGCTACTTGCATCCGTCTCCTGGCTCAGAAGTGAACGCACCACAAAAGCAGCTACCCATCACGGGCAAACATTTAAAGATGCTCAGAAGTCTTTTCGGAGCAGCAGCTTCTGTTGCAGCGCTGGCTGTGGCAGTGACCGCCCATCCGACAGCCAGTAGCGAAGCTTCCGGGCAAGCGGTCACCAAGAACCGGACAACATGCGCGACAAGCAACGGTGCTGCGGCCTTTAAGGGAATGTATCAAGAGATTAATCGACCGCAAATTCATTACAGCCCAAGCGCTGGCTTCATGAATGACCCAAATGGTCTGTTCGTCGACGATGATGGTCTCTTCCATCTCTACTTTCAGTACAATCCGAATCAAACAGTCGCTGGCAATCAACACTGGGGTCACGCGACGTCCAAGGACGGATATGCCTGGGACAATCATCCCATCGCTCTTGCGCCAGAAAAGGCGGGCGAGGGCATCTTCTCTGGCTCTATCGTGGTCGACCGCAACAACACGTCCGGCTTCTTTGGAGACGACGTCAAACCCGGCGACAGGGTGGTAGCCATCTATACCCTCAACACCGAGGACAACCAGACGCAAGACATTGCTTACAGCAAGGACGGTGGATACACTTTCACCAAGTACGAGAGAAATCCAGTGATTGATCTCAAGACGACCCAATTCAGAGACCCAAAGGTGAGGCAGGCGGCTTTGAAACTCGTGACTGTTCTGTCCTCGTTGAGCCTTTTCGTCACGTGACTGATGGCGCCATATTTCGAGACGACAGGTATTTTGGGACGAACAACATAGTCACTGGGTCATGGCTGTGGCTCATCCTCAGTCCTACGAAGTCGGCTTTTACACCAGCGCCGACCTCAAGTCATGGCAGGAGACTTCGCGCTTCTCGGGCGGACTGTGGGGATACCAGGTGCGTTGGACTATGTAGTCGAATGTGGTGCGCAGTCGTTTGACCTCTGAACGTCCTATTTTCACGCAGTTCGAGTGCCCAGGCTTAGTGCAAATTCCTATTGTGGGCGGACCCAGGAACGGCGAGAAGATGTGGACGCTTCTGGTCTCCATCAATCCCGGAGCTCCTCTCGGCGGCAGCGTCCAGCAGTACTTCTTCGGAGACTTTTCCAACGGCAAATTTACCGCAAACGACACTGCCGTTCGCTTTGCGGACTTTGGAAAGGACTTCTACGCTGCCCAGACTTATTTCAACGCTCCTGAAGGCCAGGCCATCATTCAAGGCTGGGCTAGCAACTGGCAGTACACCCAGGTGGCGCCCACTGCACGTGGTGACAGCGGCTGGCGTAGCGCGCAAAGTCTGCCGAGAACCATGACTGCTAGGTGGACTCAGTACGTGAGTGCTGTCGTGCGCGGTCTGGGTTTTGGTTGAGCAATGCTGAACCTCTCCTCTCGACGCAGAATCCTATGTACAACGGATACCAGCTCTCGATGGAGCCTCTGCCATTCGGCACATTGGCTGGAGCTGAGCTTGCGCAACGGGCCACATCCAACACCACCGTTCAATTGAAGGGTGATGGTGCCTTCGATGTGCGTGCCACCTTTGCTGTGCCAGCAGACGCCAAGAACGCCGAGACCGCGCGACTGCGAGTCAAGACGCGCGGAGGGGCTTTCCTCGACGTTGGAGCCCTCGTCAAGCCTGGAGACCCCGCAACCATCTACACAGATCGGCGCAAGGCCGGTGTCACGTTCGCGGACACCAATTCGTTCTTCACGGACAGAGCTAGCGTTGCAGTCATGCCTTTGAGGCGTGACCCAGCAGACGCCAAGAGTGATCAGCTCATCGACCTCCACGTCGTCGTCGACCGTACTTTGACAGAGGTATTTGCCCAGAATGGCACCGTCAGCGCAGTGAGTCTTGCGTTCGTGATTTGGATTCTCCGCTATGCCATCCAGTGCTGATCAGTGACCCGCACCGGGCGCCAGTCCACGTTGACGTATTGGGACAACAACGAGTTCCCTAGTAGCTTGCAAATTGGACTGAGTAGCAAGGACATCACGCTGGAGTCCCTTAGCGTCAAGCCCATCGCTTCCACATGGAAGCGCTGCGCGAGCTACTGATGCGCGGCAACAAAGTTCTCATAGCCAGTGTGGCACAAAGCAGTCCCCGATCTGTGAATGACGCCGTGTAGTAAAAGTCACCATTGCGGTCGCGAAAACCGATGCGAGGCGCCAGCGGTCCTCGCGATCGTTGTATTCCAATCTAGTTCCAAAAATATCGATGAGAGACATGCAGTCATGTGCGGTTCTGAAGTGCTGCGTCTCGAGATATGCTTCAGCTGAACGATGGAATGACCGTCTCGCACACGAACCACATGCCGCCTGTGCCCTTCGATGCAGCTCCATGCCTGGCTTGGTCGCTTGAAAGGCCTTGCTCTGGATCGCATACCATGCCCGACGAAAGTCCGCAATCCACAACAAAGCCACCGGCAAGTGGAGGTGCTCGTTTGGGAGGCTTTGAGTTGTTCCGGTGCTCGTCGGAGGGAGTGCTGGCGCGTGAGGAAGAATTGGATGTGGCCGACAGTCGAGCTCGAGCAAGCAGGCTGTTCGTCCGCATATTCTTGGGCATGATGCGGGATGGCCTAGATGCTGCCGGTACGGCCAGATCGTCGGAGAGAGAGGTGCGGTCTGCATCGCTAAGCACGAAATCTGTCTTCTCTGTATCGCTGTGCCCGCCAGCGGTCGCTGATAGGTGTTTCTGACCAAGGCTAAGTCCTTCTAGCGCAGTGGACACATCAAGCAGTCGCTTAGCAGAGCGTTCTTCGGTCGGACTCGCAGAGGTATCTGTATCATAGGAGTCCAGCGACGTGCTCGCCCGATCGGTTCCGCAGTATGGCGCATTTGACAGGTCCAAGAACGGCGCCTGGGGACCCACAAGGTGATGACGTGGCTCGTCACAGCTGAGTGGCGGAGCCAGACACCGCTTCTTACTCAACGGCGAGAGAGTGGAAGCGTAGTCTGTGGTGTGCGATCCTTGACTGACTACCCTTCCGAGCACCGGCCGACTACCGGAAGGGACGGCAGGCAGGTTGCTCCCCGCGACATGTGCTCTTCGCTTGACTGGGCTCAACGCCTGGGCTAAAGCCGCGAGCTCTGCCTCTTCGTTGTCCATCGCGTTGGTGTCGGCAGCCGCCTGATCCAGGTGATGCGATAGAGACATGCTCTGCTCGCCAGGCTGCCCGGCAGTGTCTGTGATCCCCTCGGTGCCATCCATCGAGGAGTGCAATAGCCCAACAGCATGGCCTTCTCGAATCATCGACTCGCTCTCTACAGTTACGTGCGTACGCGCCTCGAAGCCGCGCAGATCCAGCCGTAGATTCCTCTTGGGCGCCCAGCCAGGCGCAGAGAATTCGCTGGGAGCTCGCAGAAGCACGTGTGTCTTATGGGAGCCTACGTGACAGTGCGAGCGTTCAGAGAACACAAAGTTAAAGAAAGGTACGGATGCATGCTTCCGCATCTACTCACCCAGAGGCGCACCTATACCGAGCTTGCCGCCATTTACTTCGTCATCCCCATTGTCACGTTCCACCAGAAAGCGCACCAGCTGGCGCTCGAGAGCACTTCGAAGCCTTGACGAGCTTTTTCCAACTTGCTCTTTGCCTGGTGCAGGCTCAGCTGACGCCGCGACACCACCGACGGACTCACTGCCAGCGACGGCATCTTTGAGGTAGACGTGAGAGATGGCTCTGGGAAGCATTAGAGACGGTCCAATGACTATGAGCAGCGGCACATCGTGTGCTCGATCTGAAGTCGAAGGGAGATCCGCAAAAGCATCCAGAGCGGCGGCTAGGGCATCCGAAAAGCGTAGCAAGGAAGCCAAAAGCTGTAAAGCCATGTTGGGCGAGGAGCCGTCAGCGTGGGGTTGTGATCTTGCCATCGCACATCATCGTACCTTTGCTCTCTTCCTCGCTCTAGCACTCTTGAGCACTGCCGCGCTGCGCTCTGTGGATATCATGCTCGTTTGCTGGCGCTGCAGCAAAGCGACGGGTTCTGGTATTTGGGCTCTTGCGTACAATACGTGGTGAAGTGCCGCCACGCTGAGCGAGGCGACGAGAGATCGGTCTTGCGCATCCTTGCTAGAGGAAGGTTGATGCCCCGAGGTTCTTGAGGAGAGCGATGTGATATGTAAGCTTGACAGGCGCTCATGTGACGGAATGCCTAAAGTTGTCACAGCATGCATAGCTCGTGAGGATGCCGAGCAGTGCGAAGCAAAGACACCGCCAGGCGCGAGGTTTGTCTGGGCTTCTCGCTCCTGCGTACTGCCAAATGTGCCTTGTTGAAGCGATGCGGCGCATACACAGCTGACGTTGAGAGTGAGGGGAGCTGTGCTCGATGGATTGAAGTCGTATTTGACTCAATCGAGTGATGAGTGTGGCCTGTGGCAGGTGTTGATTGGTCCATTGCCGGAAGTGTCAGTCATGAGGAGTGTGCGCGTGCTGTGTGTGATGTTCATCAGAAAGTCCGCGCGCGGGTTGCTTGTGCGCGC